TTTTCGGGTCCGAACTTTGAAAAAAAGTCAGTTTGAGCTCGAACTTGACCCCGAACTTGACTTGAACTTGATTGAAGTCAATGGGGACCCGAACTTTTGGCCACAAAAATGCCTCTAAAAAACTCCTGGAAAGGGCTAGAGAGCTTCAAAAGCAATTAAAATGGGGGTAAGAGTAGGGCAAGTGCCCTGCAAACAAATGTGGATAGGGAAATCACTTAAAATAACATAAAAATTTAAAATACAGCTGAGCCATAAAATAGCACTAGATGGAATCTTTGATTTTAGCTTTGGAAGAACATAAATCAAAATCTAAAGCATGGCTGTCAGGAGGATCACCAGAATTATCCATTTGAGAGAGGGTTGGAGTGCAGGGTATTCTCTTTCATTGTTCAAACTGAGCTCAACTCCTGATGCATGGAGAAAAGGCCTTCACAAGCCTCTGCTATTGTGTACATAGTTTATACTAAGTGACCCATAGGTTGAGGAGGCGGTGACCGTGGCGGTTAGGTGGAAGCAGCGGTGGAGGAAGAGGATGAGGTAGCCAACACTGTTTTTTATTTGTTAGTTTTTTGGGGGGTAGCTGTCAGGGTCTTGCCTGATGGGGAGTCTGGCTCGCAGAGTTATACGCTCACCCTTGCAAAGTAGACACAGACCAGGGTGACCAGGTAAGACGCCACCTGGCCTGTGAGTCTGTGCACGGGGGCTTTCCAGGAAAAGTGCGCCAAGTCTCAGTACAGCAGGGATTAGCAGAAGCGTGGTCAAGGGAAGCCAGAATCAGGGAAGCCAGAATTAGACAGTAATCACTGGAACGCAGGTACGGAGTAACAGGAACCAAACAAGGGAACCAGAGTCAATGAACTGACACTGCCCTCAGGGAGAGGCAGTGTCTTATACCTGGCTAATTGGTGATCAGCCACAGGTGTGCTGAGATCATTGGAGCAGCCACAGAATAACGTCCAGCCCCCAGTGCTGGGTACAAGGCAAGATAGACTTCTGGCTATCTCTTGAGCTGATATGGTGGCTCAGAGGCAAAATAGCAGCCCCAGGACTGCAAAGTACCCTGGTTCAAGTCCGTCACCGGGCACTTCTGGGGCGACCTCGTCTGGCCGTCGGGATGTCGCGGTGAGAATCGTGACAGTAGCCCACAAAATATTGGGACATACAAATAAAGAAAAATTTGCGGCCTGCGGTGCAAGTGTAACGGATCACCTGGCACCCCGACTGGGTACCTCCGTTGAAGGATGCTTCTAGCACTTCCTGAGTGCTCCAAGCACCCCAGCCGACACCATAACCACTGTAGACTCCTCCAGGGAGCAAGAGAGGAACAAGCTCTTACAAGAGCTTAGTAGTGATATAGCAAGGGAGTATGACTAGCATAGCAATCCCTTGTAGCAGATTCCCCCAGTAACGTGTTGACACTTCGTTTTGAGGGTCAAGCAGAACCGACTGTACTGGCACATACAGCCTCTTTTATTTCCAATCCACAAACTTAGTACTGCCCACAGTGTTTTACAGAACAACCAATAACACACGTACATTACAGAAAACACTCCCAGCAATTATACACAAAATCCTCCCCTCTGCCTGTGATATAATTATGGTACACAATGGGTTAACATAATTATCACAAGCAGGAAAAATAGTTGTGGTGGAACCAGCCTCGCCACTGGGCATTGGAGAAGACTGATTGCCAGCCTCCTGCCATGTGACTATGGCCCCTGGGATGTATTGCCTGCTCTCCTGTACTGCTGAGGATTGCTACAAACTAGGTGGATTTGGCTATGGAGCTTGTGTAGTGCCCTCTGTTGGTAGCAACGGTAATATGCACTACCTGAATAGTAAGACTGGTAATTTGCATATTCGGGTAGATTTGCATATTGCTAATTATGCATGCAGGAGAGACATTTTGTGTTAATTATGGTCTTCCCCACCCATTTATAAATATGTAATTATGTTAGAATAAGTCACTGTATGTTGCGTGCTATGATTTGATTGTTTGTAATTTTATTGAGTTTTCACAGCAATGTTAATGTAATGACCATATGGGCTAGTCCCAAGTAAAATAAAATCTGCTACAAGGGATTGCTATGCTCTGCATATTCCCTTGCTATAATCACTCCTACGCTCTTTTAAGAGCTTGTTCCTGCTTCGCTCGGAAGGAAGAGAGGTTCTGCCTGCGGTGGTTGTGGTGTCGACTAGAGTGCTTGGAGCCCTCAAGAAGCGCTAGGAGCATCCATCAATGGAGGTACACAGTTGGGGTGCCAGGTGATCCATTACAATAGTTTTTATACAGGTGCTATAATTTTAAAAATATACGTCCAATCTTCATAAAAATTACATATTCAGAATCCACAAGCTTGAAATATACACATATTCAAAAATCAGGGCAATCGGTTCAGGGGTTAAAAAGTTAAGGGAAAGTCCTATTTGACTAAATGAAGCATGGTTTTTCTGCCCAAAACCAGTTCCACAGAGTCTTCTATCCTGGAGATAATTGGGAAGTAATCCAATTATCTCCAAGGACAGAGGCAAAACTCAAAAAATACATAAAAATATATAACTGTGCAGCTATTGCATAAAACGGGTACATTCAACATATCCCCAGATAGCTTAGATCTGAGCGCAAATTATTACTGAATGGCGCTCAGATCACATACATACAGTTCAATTGCCATGGAGCCAAAGTCTTTCACATAGTCTTTCGTTATACGAATGGGCTCCATGGCATAGCTATCTGGGGTAACACTGCTCACATAGGGAAAGTACCGAATGACCCGGCTTTCGGGACTTTGCAGGGGAAAATCCAGCATTTCAACATGGGGCCATAGTCACAGGGCAGGAGGCTGGCAATCAGTCTTCTCCAATGTCCAGTGGCGAGGTCAGTTTCGTCACAACAAGCATCTGCTAATGTGTACATAGTTTATACTAAGTGACCCATAGGTTGAGGAGGCGGTGACGGTGTAGGTGGAAGCAGCGGTGGAGGAGGAGAATGAGGTAGCCAACACTGTTTTTTATATATAAATTTGTTTTTTAATTGCGGTAGCCCACAAAATATTGGGACATACAAAAAAAGAAACATTTGCGGCCTGCGGTGCATTTATTGCAGTCCTGATGCATGGAGAAATGCTCAACTCCTGATGCATGGAGCGGCCACCCATAGGTTGAGGAGGCGGTGACCGTGGCAGTGGAGGAGGAGGGTGAGGTAGCCAACACTGTTTATATATATATATATATATATATATATATTTTAATTGGGGTAGCCCCCAAAATATTGGGACATATAAAAAAAGACAACTCGGTTCCGCAGAGTAGCTGTTGACATTATAGTTACGCAGGAACTTTGTTGACTCTAGAGAACCTCGGGCATATCGCACATCCCTGTGGCGGCGACTTTGCATGCGGATGTCATCCATATCAACTTCTGATGCCAGTTTCTGCGCCTACCATGGTGATTCTCGAGCTAATACATGCCGACGAGCGCTAGGGACGGCCACTCCGCTTTTGCACCCTGCTCCCTTTTATGCTGTGCTGGTGCCTCTGTGCGACCAGCGCCTCTTCCTCCAAACTGCACACGTCACTCGCATGACCTTGATTTTATGAGGGGTCTAGGACCTCATCATCCTCCACATCATCTTCCACCCACTCCTCAACCCTGCCCTCCTTGCCGGTACACACACTGCAGAAAGCCACAGCAGTTGGCACCTGTGTTTTTCCAGCTGGTAGAGTCTGCAAAGGACATATGGAATTTTTTTAGAATTGTATCCAGGCAACAGTTTTCCCTATAAACTGACCTCCCAGTTTGACTTGTGAGAGTATTGCCCCAGAATTACACTATTGTTGAAGTGCCTCTTAGCTATTGATCACTGGTTTAAATATAGCAGCTGGTTATCTGGTAGTTTCTAGTGTAGAAAATATCAATCTGTTTTCTATCACTTAGATCTGTGTAACAAGTGTTGTAGTGGGAAACAATATTACAAGTTACCGATGTAGTAAATTCGAATCAAAGTTCCATTTGCAAAAAAAATTCTCACCCATCTTCTGTGGGTTATTGCATTTTTAAGATGTAGACTTATTGTATCACACTAGCCATGCACAGGTAGATTGTCTGGCATGTAGTTTTGGTGTTTGGTTTTTAACTTTGTAGTTGTGTCTTTACACAATATAGACATGTATATTAATGCTTCTGTATATGAAGCGATCACAATAACACTTATTTTTCACTTTTTTAAGAAAAAAATCAGGCTACACAAAAATTGTTAATTCACAATATGACATCTGAAAAGCACATGACAGGATGCTGTATGATTTAAAAAAAAAAAGAACACACTATATGAAGGTCCTGTTCACTAGAGTGTGTAGTCATGAATGTAACCAGTAAAACGTTGTTGTTTACAGCCACTGGTTGGCCCATACATATTTTAAAACTTGTTTAATTTTGTTGTAGCATTGTGGTGGAATCTCGGTAAAAATAAATTTAGTAGACCGAGATTACCACGTGGCATGTGTACGTGCATATGCTGACGTATCGATCAGTTGGTTGCACGAGGCAAGATACGATCAGTAGTGTACGGAGCATGTGCAAGAATACAGGATGTAGTATTCCCCTCCTCCATTGTGCTGGACAAGCCATGCGGTCAAGCAGGAAGTTAATTCTTATTTGTAATGATTGGTCAAGAGAATGTGCGGGTGGAGCTTAATATGGGAGGAGTTATGTGCCTATATAGGGAGCCTGCACTATTGTTCAGGGCTCAGAACTTGCTGTATTTTTGGTGACATTAGTCCCTCTGAGTCCCGATCGGTGATCCAATAAAGAATCTCTTCCTTCCTGAAGAAACCTGTGTCCATCCCTCTGTGCTTTGCTTCCATCAGTTTCTCCGGTATCATTTGGTGCATTGGCCGGGAATCTCATCGTTCAACGGTAGCTGAGAGGCAGAGGCGTGAGACGGTCTATCTTTGCCCACGTTCTCTACGGCTGCACCCCTGAACTTCTGCGTGGACCTCCCTTCGTCTCGGCGCCACTGGTCTGTTGTCCAGGAGATCATCGGCCTCTACGTAAGAAGTGCTGGGGTGTCCCCGTCGATGAGTGTGAACTCAGGTTCAGGAACGAGGAGGTAAGACAACTGCTGTTTTAGACGGCAGACCCACTAGGGGTATACCGATTGTGCGGTAGGCCCAAAAGGGGTTTAAATCTGTGTATGGAATCTGCCCCCTCTGTCGGAGGGAAGGAGCGAAGGCGCACCGCTCGATCGAACGCTCTTTAGTAAGACCGTTTGATCTGGTTAGTCAGGCGGGGTCCTGTGTAAATAGCCCTAGCCGGACACCGGTGTCTTGTCTAGACTAGCGTTCTAGGGTGTATATTACGTTCGCTAGGTCGGAGGGACCGGGAGACTAAGCGGCGCCTGTGTAAATTCGGTTCGCTAGCTCTCAACCTATCTTGGCTAAGTGGGAAGGCGTGTAAATTTGGAACCCACTAGACTTTTGATAGAGTAAATAGACTAGAAGGGCAACTTTGTAAATTCGCCCTCTAGTTCGCTATATGTGGTGCTTGGGCAGTGTGGCTAACCAAAACGGGTGTATATAGTTTTAGGTAGTCCATTCAAGGTACTGGCCAATAGTTTAGTTGGGATTGTAAATGTGTTAAAGATTGTTAGTATAGTGTATATCTTGTTAGATAGCGCGAGCTCAGCCGTCTAGCGAGAGTGTTAATAGTGTGTTGCTGTATCATAGTGCACGGTACCATAACCCTGTATATTTACTGACACTGTATATAAGTACTAATCATTGTCGTCTATTGCATGTTTAACACCGTAACCACTAATAATTGTATTGTGACCTTAAATTGTGCTTTGACCTATGCTAACCGTACTGTAACCGATACTAGTAAAAGACGATGTTACTGGGGTGTGTTATAGACGGGTAATTCATATATAGAGAATTATAGCGTGGGTGACTGTATAGTTTCGCCAAAGGGCATAATATTGATTATTTAGTGACTGGTGTAACAGCTGTGTGTGTACGGGAATTCCCTGAGTGATTATTGTGTTATTGTGTACGTTTCACTCGGTAACTGTACCACGTGGTGCTGTTGCCAGAGGAAACGGGTGTGACTGTTGAATAAGAACGCGTGCATAGTATTCGTTGTCAACGACGTTCCATTGATAAGTATGGGCGCGTCAGAGTCAACGATTTCGGATCCCTTAGGTTGTATGGTAAAGAATTTTAAAAAGGGATTCAAAACATGTGATTTTGGGGTTAAAATGTCTCCTGTACGTTTGGTCACTTTGTGCACTAGGGAGTGGCCTATTTTGGTTGCGGCATGGCCGCCGCGTGGCAGTTTGGATCCAACCCTGGTACAGCGTGTACACGTGGCTGTATCAGGTAGGCCTGAACTTTACGGACAGTTTCCATACATTGATTGTTGGAGGCAGGCCGTAAACGACTCGCCAAAATGGATCCGGATATGCCACGAGGAGCAATGTCGCCTCATGGTGGCCAGGACTTGTTTGTCCACTAGGACTGGTGTTAGGCCCATTTTGGACACGCCCCCTGAGTCCGAGATCCCTTTGCCGCCCCCTTACTTTCCTTTTAAGAGGAAGTGACGCGAATGCAGGAAGTTCTGCACCCCTTCCCCTATTGCCCCCATCCACTTCCGCTTCCTCCTCCAGTACAGAATCCACCCCCCCTCGTATTAAAACTCCCCTTCCGGAACCAGGACCAACCCCCATTAGATCTGAATATCCTGATTTGGCGCCACTTCAAACTTCCGGTCAAGCTTCTTCTAGCTCGGCTCGGAGTATACTATTCACTGACTTTTCCCAAAATCAAGTTCCCACATCCTCATGCCCTATTACCTCTCGACCGGAACCTTTAACTGACGCCCCTCCACGTAGCCCCATACTAACCCGACAACTGACCGGTACCCAACAATTAAAACATTATCAGATGCCTCTTCGTCTGAATCCTGGGTCAGCCTATATCGATGCCGCAGGTCAAATGGCACATGCTGACCCAGTCTTCGTATATGTCCCGTTCGCGACTACCGATCTCTTGAATTGGAAGACCCACAATTCCTCGTACACTGAGAAACCACAAGCTATGACCGATCTGTTCACCCCGATAGTTCAGACACATAACCCGACATGGGCTGATTGCCAGCAGTTATTAATGACATTGTTCAATAATGAGGAAAGGACAAGGATTAACCAAGCGGCCATTAAGGCGCTAGAGGAGAGAGCCCGTGCTTTAAATCAAGCCAATCCGGCAGCATGGGCCGCAACACATTACCCCAACACCGATCCTGACTGGAATGTAAATGGCGCAGATATGGCTCAACTTAAAGCCTATAGAGATGCTATAATTGCTGGCATGAAAGCCGGAGGGAAGAAAGCTATTAACATGTCGAAGATAGTTGAGGTGATTCAGAAAAGTGATGAAGCGCCCAGTGTCTTTTATGACCGATTATTGGAGGCATACCGCTTGTATACCCCCTTTAATCCGGAAGACGCTGATAATTCCCGAATGGTAAACTCCGCCTTTGTCAGCCAAGCTTACGGAGATATAAAGCGCAAGCTACAGAAATTAGAAGGGTTTGCAGGTATGTCTATCACCCAACTAATGGAGGTAGCGAACAAAGTATATATGAATAGGGAAACAGAAAGTAAGAAAGAGGAAGAGCCCAAGATGCGTAGAAAGGCAGATATGCTAGCGGTAGCGATCGCAGGCGTAGATAGACGGGGCCCAGATAGAGGCGATGGTAGATGGAATAGGGAGCCTTTGGGTAGGAATCAGTGCGCGTACTGCAAGGAAGAAGGGCATTGGAGGAACGAGTGTCCGCAAAGAGAGCAGTATGAGAGAGACTTACCCAGGGCAGGTTACGGAAACTTTAGAGGCAGAGCGAGAGGTAGAGGAGGCCCCGGAGGGAGTAATGGTAATAGAGGGAGTAATGGGAACAGAGGAAGTGTAAGGGAAGATAGGTACTATCCAGCAGCAAAGGTCCCGCGATAGAGAAGGTAGGGACTTTGTGGGATTGGCTGACACGGTCATGGAGGACTATTGATACCGACCGGGCTCCATCCCCCTTGGTCGAGCGGAGCCTATGGTCGATGTATCAATAGGGGAAAAAAGGAGTGCGTTTATGATCGACACTGGTGCTGAACATTCGGTGGTGACTAATCAAGTTGCTCCTCCATCTGGAAGAACTATTACTGTAATAGGAGCAACTGGAAGAAGTGCTGAAAAACCGGCTCTTAAAAGTCGACTCTGTACATTGGGAGGCCACGTAGTAAAACATCAATTCCTTTATATGCCTGAGTGTCCAGTCCAATTGCTGGGACGTGATATGCTATCCAAATTACAAGCGCAGATTACGCTCCTACCAAATGGAACAACATCCTTAAAGTTTAATGGACCCTCAGGTATTATGACATTGTCCGTACCAAAGGAAGAAGAGTGGCGACTTTATACAGTGTTGACTAGCCAAAACCCGAGGAGTGATGAATCCTTATTTAACCTACCAGGAGTTTGGGCAGAGAACAACCCACCAGGACTGGCCCGCAATATTCCACCTATTAAAATCGAACTAAAACTTGGGGTTTATCCAGTAAGCCTGAGACAATACCATATTCCGCAGAAGGCTAAGAAGAACATCCAATCTTATCTGGATAAGTTCATACGGTATGGTATCCTAAAATTCTGTACTTCCCCCTGGAACACCCCATTGCTGCCTGTTCAAAAGCCCGGTACAGATGAGTATCGACCTGTGCAGGACTTGAGAGCAGTCAATGATGCGGTTGTTAGTATACATCCAGTCGTGCCCAATCCATATAACCCGCTTGCTTTAATTCCGGGCGGGGCTACTTACTTTACAGTTTTAGATCTCAAAGATGCCTTCTTTTGCCTCCGAATTGCCGCAGAAAGCCAATGTATCTTCGCTTTCCAATGGGAAAATGCTGTAACGGGCTCGAAACGCCAAATGACCTGGACAAGATTGCCCCAGGGGTTTAAAAATTCACCTACCCTATTTGGTTCAGCTCTAAGTCAAGATCTACTAGATTTCGAGTCTATCCCAGGAGTGTGTGTATTATTACAATATGTAGATGACTTGTTGATAGCAGCAGTTACAAAGGAAGTATGTCAGCAAGCAACGCACGATCTACTACACATTCTCTGGAAGGCAGGATACAAGGTGTCAAGAAGGAAGGCTCAGTTGTGTTTGCCAACCGTCAAATATCTGGGATTCCATATCTCTGAAGGTCAAAGAATTATGGGGCCAGAGAGAAAAGAAGCTGTGTGCCAAATACCGATACCCAGGAATAGAAGACAAGTGCGAGAATTCTTGGGGGCAGCAGGCTTCGGTAGGATATGGATTCCCAGCTACGCGATACTGGCAAAACCTCTGTATGCAGCTATCAAAGGTACAGAGCACGACCCCTTCTTATGGACTCAAGAACAGCAAACGGCATTCGAAGATGTGAAGAGGGCTTTGATGAGTGCCCCAGCATTAGGTCTACCTGACCACACACGGCCATTCTACCCGTATGTACATGAGCAAAGAAGAATGGCTGTGGGAGTATTGACACAGTACTTGGGATCATGGCAAAGACCTGTTGCCTACATGTCTAAGCAACTGGATGCAGTGGCCAGCGGACCTCCACCTTGTCTAAGAGCCGTAGCTGCAGCCGCCCTGCTAGTAGCTGAAGCCGATAAACTCACTCTGGGTCAAGAACTTTATGTACAAGTTCCACATGCAGTACAGACGTTGTTGGATTACAAAGGAAATCATTGGTTTAGTAACAGCCGTATGACCAAGTATCAAGCAATGTTGTGTGAAAACCCAAGAGTGCATTTAGAGACTGTAAATACCTTAAATCCAGCTACCCCTTTGCCACAACCTACTGAAAGTCAACATGATTGTTTGGAAGTAATGGATGAAGTATTTTCAAGTAGACCAGATCTTCGTGATTTTCCCATCCAGAACCCTGATGTTCAATATTACACCGACGGCAGTAGTTATGTAAAAGAAGGGATCCGCTATGCAGGATATGCAGTAACAACGATAGACAAGGTGATAGAAGCTCGGCCACCGGCAAAAGGAACATCAGCACAAAAGGCAGAATTGATAGCACTGACACGAGCGTTACAATTGGCTGAAGGTTTAAGAGTGAACATCTACACGGACTCCAAGTATTCGTTTTTAACCACTCATGCCCACGGAGCTTTGTATAAAGAAAGAGGAC